ATGGAAAGATTAGCTCAAAATTTACTATCTATTTTTATACGTTGACCTCCGTAATGTTTATTTTTCTGGATTAGGTACAATTTTTTCCTTTCCATTCGGTAGTAATTTAGCAGAGCAGTCATGACGATGCGTTTTGGCGATTTTGAAAAAGAAAATCGAAACACAAGGCGGAGCAAATCAATACTTTGCGAGGAAAATTTACAGCCATGCTGGTTACTCCAGTTTTTCTTTATACCTATTGAAAGCGAGAAGGTTAAAACCACGAAATAAATATAGACGTATTTTATCAAATGATATCTCACCTCCTCCATTGATGTAGCAGAGATACGGGAAACGCCATAAGTTGCCGAGTCCCACAGCATAACCGATGCACGATAAGAGAAAATCAAGTTTTCTTGTCCACTGCTCTCGCTTTCCATCTTCTTCTTCAACAGCCGCACCAGGCCTGGTTTCTTCACTCGAAGAGTTCAAGGGACTCAGAAGTTCGGAGTCGTGTTTGCTCGCCATAACTGCACTTACACCTGATGTGTGTTGATGCTCAAGAAGAATAAACTGGCTAGCTTCAGCCAATGTATGCTTTTAAGTAGTGCGATATCTGTGACTTGGTTTCGCACAAACACGTACGTACCCATTTTTTAATTGAAAAATTCACTGCTTGTTCCTGTCCATCTTTTGTGACCTTTTAATCGGATGATTTGACCCAAGACTTGTTGCCAACATTGAACTGATGTTTTTCACTGATTTCATACTGAGTGTTGATGAGTGGATTATGATATAGTTGTTTCAAGAGTACTGTGAGTTTTAGATCGCAGAATTTTCTATGAAATCGTCGCTAGTTGATTTTTACGCATTTTAGAATCAGTAATGATTCAGAGCAATGAGTCACGTAGGTATAACTGACTGAGAATGAAAACAATGACTTCCATCTAATGGAATTGCTGAAAATAACAGGAACTCAGAGAAAATTAGCTTCCAAGGAAGGAAAAGACGAAAATAAACATGTCCAACTTCTGACGAATGTTTTTCATATTCTAAATGCGTATTCTTCCTAAACTTATGTTAACAGCAACATCCTATTGAGCTAATTACTGCCACTGGATCTGAAAATTAAACCCCCTGCATTAATTGAATAGACCTCGAGGTCTCGTCTTTCAGTAGACACATTGCCAAGTTGGATGTTTTCGACAGCGAGGGAAGTTTTTATAAAATTAAATTATCTCACAAGTTTCATTTCCGAATTCTTTTTTATCCCACGTTTGTATAATTCTCAGTGATTCAAGTTCACGTAAGCAGTTTGGGCCATTACCGGCTTCTAGCAGTTTGTGCCATTACCGGCTTCTGCCCAACCTAGAAATCCGGTCTGTTCAGCATAATTTATTGCTGGGTCAGTGAATTTTGGATCTGACTTGCCTTAGCTGAGTCAAAACGCACCCCGAGAATGTTCCCAGGTTAGATTTTAACGGAAACCCCATCGGCCAACTGCAGCCCACAGTTAATTTTCAGTTCCTAAAATTTACTCCCGATGACTTATTTTGGGATGCGGTTGGGATATGGGTCACGAAAATATCGATGCATGCTTAGCTTCTGTTTTAATTTGACAAACCTTTCTTCGTAACATCCTTCAATCCCTTCACACATCAAAATACATCCTGCAGGTTTTTTTTTCATCTTCGGTACAGACCGCTGACTGAGTGAATTCTCTTTCTTCATGAATGTTGTTGACTTTGAAAGTGACGTAATCGATTGACTGCGGGGGCTTTAAACCTTCTCAATGTTTCGGTTCGCTTTTCCGTGATACGGATTGTCTATCCAAGTGATTTGCATTGCTACTTAGGCTTTTATTATCTAGATCTAACATAGTTCCAAAGCATGCCACATTTTAAAGGTAGATAGATGACGAAAAGCTTCAGGGGAAAAAACTGATATTGGACTGTCTTCCCCTCAGCCGTCTGAGATGATTCTCGAATTACATGTGCAATCTTTAGGACCAAAGTATGTTTTTCTATTTTTAATTGAAGCTATTACAAGAGATAAGCTTGACCGAGATATCTTGTGCCATTTCCGTTTTGAGTAAACCTGACCCTATAAAACTTATTTAGAGCTTCTTTTGAAAATGTTTTTCTAGAGCGAATATGTTCAACTTAGATACCTTAGATACTGATTACCGAGAAATGTATTCATGTTGAACGCAAGACGCGTTGCGAAGCTAATTACTATTCAGTCATTAGCTATCGGTACCACAACTTCCTTGATTTCTGAGTCTTGTCTGTCTTGAGGGTTTAAAAGATGAAGGCAGACTTTTTCAATCAAACTTTATCATAGATTGAACAACAATCTCCATAACATCAAAGATTGATCAAATTTCCTGTAATACTGAAAAGAATATTTAGTAATTTTTTTATTTCACATATTTTTGAGTCTTATTCTTTGAGTCTTAAATTGGATGTCAACATGAGCATCAACTTTGCAAAATAAGAGCCAGAGAAAGTTTCATTTATAATTACGTGACTTACTACAAATTTTTAATAAGTCAGTTCATTATACTACAATGACAAAAATTATAAATAGCCGAAAATCACATTGTAATCATCGTTTCACTGGATAATTTTATTCCATTCAGCTTTGAGGGTCTGATTCACAGCTGGGCGGTCAATGTAAAATCTTTAAAGTAGTCTTAACGGACACTTTACAACTGCTAGAGAGAGGAGGCAAAAAAATTCATTTTAGAAACCTAATACTGATTTTGTTAAATCATAGTTCTCCTTGCACAACAGCGTCAAATGCCCTCAGAAGACCCCAGACGCTCGTATTTGATAAGCATTGCCTAATAACCCATAATGTTTATCTCAACTCGTCATTGCGAAACGACATGACCATTGATCGTGAATGTTTTCAAAAAAATGGAAATGCAACGGAATACTCTGAGAAAGAGCTCAACCATCCCTTCCCCCATCAATACTATTGTGAGCGAGGGTTGGTGTCGAGGGTTGACTGATATTGTCTTTGGTGGGCTGTTTTGTCATATTTCGCGTGAATTAAGCTATCAATCATAACCATGACAGTTTCCTCAGATGTGGTTGGTGCGCTAACTGCTATCTTTTTCACTTTTGTAGAGTTGTAATCGGACGGTTGTGATCGAACAGTTGGCTGCATTCGGACACTTGTAATCGAACACTGTGAAGCAGCCAATCGTACTTAGTCCACTCAGTTAAATACACCAATAACAGAATCGATCACAATAAACATAGCAACAACCCCTTATCCTAAGAAAAACTGGAAAATTTCCGAAATGGAGGAATTTTTAACTTTCAACTTTGTCTCCACTGGAGATATTTGTTCTCCATGTATTTTTATTTCGGAAATTGTAATGGTTATGATTAGTTGGTTACAGGAATTTGTGTCGTCCAGTTTTGTCTGTAATCATACTGGTAATTGACAAATCAAACTCCCGCCTCGCAGTCGTCCAATTTTGTTAATCACTCGTATAATTACAGACCGAGTTGGACTCCCAGCAGTCCCATTACGATTATAAATCAATCCCTGTTTCAATCCTCTGCGAGCGAAATGAATAAGTGGCAAGAGAGACTCAACCCGCTACGCCAAGTAGTCATAGACAAATCGCACATTTGATACCTGAAATTGATTTTGGTTAAAGCCTCTCTTTTCTAATTTTACGATAACGTTATGCACAGCAGTTCGTTTGTTGTAAACTTTTAAAAGGCAGACTACGGAAATGTTCTATCGTGTCGCTTATTACATACAAGACAGAATATTTCGCTTTTGATTGGTCAATGCCTTTGAAATAGGGAATTTTTATATTGCACCCTCTCGAAACTTTCTCTCTGGAAATAAACAAACAAACAAACAAACAAAAAATCACCACAAAAAAAAGTGTCCAAAAAAAAATCGCGACTTTTTCAAACTTGTGAAAGTGTTGAAATTATGTGCGCCGAGGACGTACAAGATCGCGTAAGAATGCAAATTGTGAAAAATGTAATGCAACAAATACATGAATTATTTGTGTCTTTATGTGAAATTACACTCGCCTAAGGCTTGTGCAATTACAGGAGACTTTCAAAACATCCCTCGCGCTCATAAAAATTACGAAATGCACCTGATATTACGCCTACTTTTATCTTCCCTAACTGGGCTCACTGTAGTAAAATCAACAGGTCCGCGTTTGTGTACGACATTACTATTCCTTATGCTCTTATCCATGATATTCTGGCCCGGCGCAGAGGGAGTACCTCAAAGAGGAGAGAATGAAATCTGCCTCGATGCTCTCGTTATTGTCCACAGACATGCTGGTTGAAGACTGATTACCCTCCTTGGGCTGACCGTTTGCTGTTTACGATGGCACTGACTCCCACTTTTAAATGAAAATGCTGCTTACATTGATCACTGAGAATGCACTAGTCCGGCATCTTTTTTTATTTTCTTATTATTTTCTTATCTTATTCTTATCGTGCATGTTTGATTATCATGAATTTCTCCAAAGATTATTTATTTTGTTTATTCTTTGATGTTTACTGACCATCTCTGCTGTCGAAAAACTGTCGCTGCACGGTCGCTCGATAAGAGCTTTCTGATGGTGAGAGGAAGGACAGGAATGACGATTGATCAGGACGCTCAAGCTGTTTTCAGTTTCGGACACGTTACATACCGCGTTCTAAAGCTTTGCGTGACATGATCAAAAGACGGCTACGCCGGAGACTCGTTTGGATGATAGCTTGTCATGATAAACGGAATTAAGAGAAACGAGCTTGAAGCTCGAAATTTTCATTCTCGGCGGCGATGAAAGAACAGTCGGGGTTTCCGGAGCGAGACAGACTGTGATTTGGGTTATAAAACAACATGTCAGTCCAAAAATATATTGAGCCTGTGGAAGTTCTCTTAAGTTATCGAGTCTCAATCTTGACCGTTTAAATCCACCCACCCACGCAGTGAGATCTATCTTTTTGATGTTGGATTGGTAAAGTATGGTTCAAGAGATGCAAAACTGTTTTTTTCAAAGGTTTATTTAACGAACCATCAAATAACATCACCCACACCAATTATAAAATTCATGAAAATACAGAAAACTACAGCAGTTCCAAACGTCAACACTAGAATAGATTTAAACCCTTTACATCCTAACATCAGTAGGTACATTATCCATACTGTTATCTATACATTTCCTAAGGTGCTTCTTAGTTTTTGGCCTCTTGAAAAAAGTAAGTTAAGCACAGCATTCCTAATCCGTTTAAATCGTTTCAAGCTCTAATTCTCACACTATCATTTCTGTAAGTTACATTTTATGGCAAAAAAAATTCGTCATGCAATTAAGGAAGCTTAACGTATTGTAAACCCTTGAGAGAGTATCAGTTGATGATATTCATCTATTTCGAGGAAAAGAACCGATACAGCTCAAGAGGCAAGATTAATTACTCATTTTGAATCAAATGAGAAATTCAGGGCACTCCAGAATTGCTAACAAAAATGAAATCCTATCTTTTAATTAATAAAATTATTAAAAAATCTCTAATATTATATTCCTGCACGAATGTCCTAATCAACACCATGTACTGGAATTGCGACCGTATTTATATATTAAGCCTTCATGAAACTATTTAAGTGCTTTGGCAGCTTTTATAAGTGCGAGGTAATATTTACAGAGAAGGTAACCTGATGCAATTGTACTACTAAATTCTAAGATAACCTGACTAAAACAGCTTTTCCAAATTTTTTTTATAAGGTGCATTTTGCAAATACGTCAGATGATGCAGGATAGGGGATACAGGCTGAAACCAACGTAAAGGGAACATTTTAGAACCAACTCAAAAAAAACGCACAGTTAATACATAATTTAAACAAAGGTAGAAACAGGCAGACAGACAACTGAACATCTGGCCAATGCAACACATCCTCTCTATAATGCCTTCATCACTTGTCTCTTTGGAAATTGAAATGAGATTTTTTAAAATTTGAATTGCTGTATGGTCTTGCTTCTGAGTAAGGGAAACTGGAAAGTCTTTATGTACCTGAATGTGACACATTTTTAAGTGATTGATGTTATCTTCTAGTTTGTTTTCAAACTAATATGGTCTTTTGCGAACAAGAGAGGTAGCGGAGCCTTAAAAATTTGAGGTAACTGAGTGAGCTGTTTCGCTGGTCACTCGATCAAGTTCGAAGACGTTTTTATCGGGTTCTTATTACTCGTAAATTCTCAAGAAGATCATAGATTTTAACGAATTTTGATTGTGAACCAAACGTTCTAATTAGTGGAGGGAGGTGGAAAAGGAGGTGAGGGGGGTTGTGTAAGGATATGGAGTGGGGAAGGGGGTAGGGTGGTACGGTAAGGCGAGTTAGAGAGATTCTAAACCTTAGATATTTTGGCCTTCCCCGCCTTCTTGTGAGGTAGAAAAAGAAAACACAATTGAAAAAATTATTGAAATAACCAGAAACTATACCTGATGGAAGGTTTCATTTAATTAACAACTTCTTCTGTGAGATCCCCTCTTTCTCCTCAACCTCTTTAAATGCGTGTTCATTTGGAACAAGCAACGACTTCAGTCTCTGTAAATGAGTCCAAAAGTCTACGCTCAACTTTGAAATGGCTCGGAAAGCGGTGACAACAACATCAAAATAACAAACAAGTATCCTCCATATTAAAGTCGTAGATAGGAAAAATGAAGATATTGTATAAACGACGAGACAAGATTAATTAAATATAGATAATTCTATTCTCTGAGGATGAACCCCATCAAAGCCAGCAAAGAATGCGCACCTCGAAATTTGCAGGTTGTATCCGACACTTACTTCAAGTACAGTTGTTCCTCTGGAGTTGTAGATGTACTGGAGGATCGCAAATATTGGAATCATCACCATTGAGGCAAGTGCGAGTAACCACCCCAAGAATTCACCCCCTGCAGGGTAAGGCTTGTTGTTGTAAGAGAGGCCGGACCATTGAATCAAACTCGCCAGAATAATCACCTGAATAATTATAACAATAGTAATAATAATAATAAATAACACTAAGATAAACTCACGACAGCACGGTTTATCCTATTCATAAATTGACCAAAACCATAGACAAAATTCTCGAACATGGAAATTTTATGATGAAGGAAGAAACAAACAAACTAAGAATACCGCACCAGAGTAGCAAGAGGCGAAATGTATTTCCAGCAAATCAGGAAGAAGATATTAGGACGCTTGCCAATCATCTTTTCAATCATGTCACCGAGTGTCTGCGTGCCTAAAATGATAATAACAAAATGATAAAAAAAATTGCTACGTGTACAGACAGCAACCAGAAGAGTTGCCTTGCCCATTAAGTTTTCAGAAGGAATCAGTGAAAACAGGTGCTCTACCGGTGGTTGCAGTTTGTTCTAATCTCCACCTAAAATACCTTATGTTGCAAAGAGAGCCAATGACGTAGATCATCAATTTTAAAAAAATATTAGTGCAAACTTAAAAAAAAAAACACTCTATCACTATCACCGTCTTCACTGATTCAATCTTCCCTTTCAAAACGTGAGTGAAGTTAATGCCAACGCAATTCTTACTATCCTATTGCTTGGTCCGTAACATACAGCATAATACTCAGGAGTGTTAATAGTAACTACTGTGATCTACACTCACCAACTCCCCAGCCTATAACAGCTGCCTCGCAAAATCCAATAAAAAGAAGTGAGATGCCGCCTGACTGAGCGTCGAATAGGTTGAACAAGTACATGCCGCCCTAAAAATAGACATTTTAGTTGATGAAGGTTGAATAAACTGCCAAAACAAACAAACAAACAAACAAACAAACAGACAAAAGGCAAACAAAGCGACAGCTAAGAACCAGTAAACAGGACGGAAAGATGGATGAGACTATAAGGCAATAAAACTCAGGTTTCCATGTTTATACTACTGTCGTGGTGTGTACATCACTGATGTGTCATACGCAATAACCACTTGATTTCTTTTTTCAAATGGTAGAAATGGTATGTAGTCGCATAAGGTGTTACATATATTTCTCAGGGTACAATGATACAATGATGCTTCATCGTCTAAAAGTGTTACCTTAGACACAGGTATATGACTATGGAATTTCAGCATTTGCATGCGTAGATCACACAACTTTACAATAGCAAACAGGCGATTCCTACCTCAGCACACATGGGTATGGCGAGCAGGAACATTAACACGCAGACGGCGATGAGGAATAGCCACTTGTACTTTCTGAGGTATTTTGGATACTCATCTGAAAGACCTGTTACGACACACTCTACCATAGCGAACTGTAGGGCCAACAGAGTAAAATGAGTTCAGGAGGATTTGCTTCTCGTGATGATTCATCAACCTCTTCTCTTAGTAACATTTAGTGATTAGACAGGTTGAACCCAACTTAAAAACCCCCTAGGTAAATACGGTAGATCTGTCTTTAAGCTTATCAACTAACCTTCCTAGCTAGCTAGCTAGTTACCACCTACCTAACCACCTACCTCCCTACCTATGCCGGCTACCACCCGTCTATCAACTTATCCAGCTACGCACTAACCACGCACTCACGTGGGTACTCAGCTACCTACCTACATACGTAACTACTTTTCAAACGTATCTGTTTACCAAACTCATCTCTTTGTTAAGCAACTGAACAATCATGCAAATACATTACCTGACTGTCCAACCCAAGAGTAAGCAACATGAAAAAGAACAAGATCGCCCATAATGTGCTTAAAGGCATTTGTGAAATGGCCTCTGGATAACCCACAAATGCAAGCCCGGGACCTGGTGACAAATTCGTAAAAGGTACTTCTATCAGACTAAGTAATTGTAACTACATATATGTCAATAAAAACACTAATATATGTATATCACACTATAATTTGGTTATGAAATGATTGGGATACAGTTTTCAGATTGGATGATCCTTTTTTTATACCTGCATGAAAACACCCCTATCAAGTCGGGAGGTAACGGAGATGATTGGAGAATACTTAACTACATGCTTATTCTGGCTGTTTTGCTTTTTAGATTTTTTTATTCATGCTAAATGATCTTACCCGCATATAACTACAGAAGAATTGGAAAAAAAATTGTACGTGCTTTTGGAAAGGATGAATTCGAAGTTCCACCCCAGTCATAGACGTATGTAGCATATACGACTGATTACCTGATGTAACCACTTCGCCCACTGGAACATCCAATGTCTTAGCCATGAATCCTAAAACACTAAACACTACAAATCCCGCGAAGAAACTTGTACCGCAATTTATTACGCTCACGATGATAGCATCCCTGTGAATAACAAAAGAGTATATAAGGAGCTTGTAGACGAGTGGGACGAGTGGGAGTGGGCAATGGTCTATTTCTTTAGTAGAAATCATGTTTATGTGAAAAGTATGCGATAAAGGTCGAATATTTGCTTCGTGAGAAGATATTTGAAGTTGTTGTTATTGAGGTAAGAGTTCCTATCTTTCTGTGGGATTAGAAGAAAAATAGGAAAAATCAGGGCTTCATTTCCCCTTCGCATTTATCGTGGAGTACATTTCATGCAACTCTTGATCAAAGAATTGCGCCAGTTGGACGTGTAGTGACATAATGATCTTTTATAAGGGATGTGATGAAGGAACGACATCAACTGCTATTTTCACTATTCCATACTCATAAAACAGTTACCTTTGCTGGTTAGAAATGTTAAGTGTATGTCTGAAGACGCTCGACTCCAACAATCGTTAGTGGAGCCTGAATGTTTGCATGCCACTGAAAAAAAAACCTGATTTATGCGGAATAGAGTGACTGCATGAAAGAAGTACTGGGCAGTCTCAAAGTAAGATGCGATTTCCATTTGTCATTTTAGCCCTTTCTCATTAAAGACAACCACCATCAATCACATCTCCCACAACTGTGACAGTCTTACCTTTCACAGTTGTTATTGAATCTGTTGTAGCTTCCAAACGTTATCAGTGATCCAAATCCTACTCCGAGGGAGTAAAAGATCTGCGATGCAGCTCGAACCCAAACCTAAAACACAATTCGCAAAGTGCATAATTTTTCAAATCGTGAGACACGACGAGCAAGTAAAAGCCAAATGATAAAGCCGTCAAGCCATCTTTTAATTTGAAAATTGACGGAAACAGTCCAAATTGAAGTTATACCTGTGGATCCTTCAGCTTGCCGATTTCCGGGTTGAGATAAAATTTTACTCCTTGTAACGAACCATCCAGAGTGGCACCGCGGATCATCAGGATAAAAAGTACAATATATGGAAAAGTAGCAGTAAAGTAAACAACCTGGAGGAGAAAATTGACCTCCAGTCAGGTATAAGGAGGAAGGTATGAAATCAAGGTAACTTTCTACTGAAAGCTGGGGAGTCGAGGAAGGCATGTTTTTATATCCTTTCCATCCACTCGTTCTTTACCAAAGCAGCAAAGAAACTTAACACATCATTTCCGCGAGACCAGAAATACCTTAGGGCTAAAATTTCTTTGAGTAGGATCAGCTACGAGATAAGGCCTCTAATCACGATTTGATCTCTCTAGCTCTTAGATTGTAATACATTCCATGATACAGCTAAATTATGCCTCATCCAGGTTAGGACGTATTTCAATTAGTATAAAACTCGAAGAAGAACAGCGCTTTTCGCGTGCGCTGATTGGCTAGGTCTCTAGCTCTTAGATTGTAATACATTCCATGATACAGCTAAATTATGCCTCATCCAGGTTAGGACGTATTTCAATTAGTATAAAACTCGAAGAAGAACAGCGCTTTTCGCGCGCGCTGATTGGCTAGGTCGGAGGTGATTATTTAGCACTACTTACCTCCGAGCAGCCGAAGAGACCAATCCATGCGTCTAAGGTTGTCTTTAAGTAAATTCGAGTGTTTTCATTGGTCTATTCTTGGTCGGAATTTTGCCCAATACGGCCCTCGCGTTAGATTAGTAAGAAGTAATTTTTCACTTCCACTTCGGTAAATAATCATTATCTTTCGGCTTTTCAGGCCGACCTTTAACTTTACCGCCAATTTTCTACATTCTTAACAATAACATATGTCTGTTAACAATAGTCACGCTTGTAACATGCTGAATTTTGTCTCTTTTTTTTCACGTTTTCTTCTTTTTTTTCCCCAAACAATGTTTAGTTTTTACTTACTTTTCCAGAGGATATCACTCCCTTTATAAGGCAAAGGTAGATTATGACCCAAGCAAGGATCAAACACAAGACGATTTGCCAACTCACATCCCCGATGTCAGACAAGCCTTCGGATATCTTCAGGATGTTATTGCTAGAGGAAAAAAGGAAAAAGGACAAAAAAAAAGGAAAAGGAAAAGGAAAAAAAAGTCGTCAACAAATCCGTACCGGAAAATTTATCACGGTAATTCTTATGTTCTGCTTTGTCATGTTGATATCTATGTTGTACAAGAGTTATGGGTGGATCAGTTCGAATCTTTAACATCCCTCTTGGGCAACCCACGGGCATTTGACCGTTGTCTATGCCCGATAGGTGGGGAGTTTGAGCTTTTCATGGGTGGGGTAGGAAGGTTCAAGTCCTTCCAGCGTATACACGTGATTTAATGGAGGCTTTTAAAGGTAAAGAGTCTGATTTCGTAAGATTATGGCTTAGGAAGAATTTTTACATCGAAGAAAGATGCGTACAAGTGGAAAACCCAACGGCAGTACCGAAAACTGATTCGTGACTTTTCTAAGTTGTACAACACTTGTTGATCACACAAAGAGTCATTAAATATTGGGTGGGGCATATGAGCGCAATTTCGGCCCCGGGTTGAGTGGGGGGTAAAGGGAGGGCGGAAATTCGAACGAGCCAATGTTCAAAAGTTCAAATGTCAGGAGTGGGGGGAGGGGGAATGTTGCTTCGAACTGATCGGCGCATTATTTTTGAGCTAGAATATGGAGCAGGATCTCAGAAAAAGCTAATCCTTCGGGCATCCTTGAAAATACTATGGACTGCGGAAAACATCCTCGAATTTTAAGGGAATGACCTCCTTATTCCGAGAAAAAAAAACTAGGAAACGGAATACCGAAAACCTGTTATAAAAATACAGTATTTTGATCCCTCAGATTAGAGGGATGTGCTTTTCATTTACAGCGTTTGGATTTTATCTAAAGTCTTCTTTCCCTGTCAAAGAGAGCGTTATACCTTTAAAAACTGATTTTTAGGTAGACGGAAAGGTTTTTTATATTTCTCTCGACCCCGAACTATTGAAAGATTTTTTTTTAGCACAAATCCGCCGATACGCAAACCTAAACGTGCATGTACCCCTAAGTGAGCATAATCCTGTAATTCTGTTGCGGTGTCGTCGAATTTTTTTCGACAACCTGAGCGGAATACGTCATCAGGGCAAGTGCTGATGATCTTTGAAACTATGAGATATAAAATTTACTCGGGTAATGTCTCTTACTTAAAGAATTCTTCAGATGGGCTGGTACTCTTGCAGTCAGCGGCGAGGCCTAGACCTGTGCAGTTCAATGAGATATTTCTTCCCGTTGCTCTGTCAGGATGAAAACAAAAGATGGGCAAACAAGTTTTCAAAATTAGATGAATATGTTATCCAGAATAAAGCACGGATAAAAACTGCTCAAGCGATTTGAGTCGGTATGATATGCAAGCTCACTTTTTTATGGCAGGTATCAATCATGACAACGAAAATCAAACACCCACAAAAACGAAAAACAATAAGAACAAACAAACAGAAAAGACCAATATTAATTCTTGGTGTTACTTTCCTACTTACTGACAAAGAGGAGTGTTCCATGTATTGTCACATGTTCTCCACGGTACGTCTTTTCTGAAGGACTGAAACATGTAGAGAAGGCACCAGGCGATGATCATGTTGTAATAAATGGACACCAGAAAGGAAACCATAATCATTCCAAATCCAATTCCTGTGAGAACAAAACCCAAGCAAAATGGTCTAAGTTTTATATCTAACTTATTGTCTTTCAGCTTAATCTTTGCTGTCAATTGGAAGCTCGAGCATTTTTGTATCTTGAGCATATTAAATAACTCTGTAAAGAAATTATCTGAGTTATTTCGAGTTTTATAATAAAAATATTAACTGCAGTATAACCAAAAGGCTCACCTCTGGCCATAGGGCAGAGAGCTGTCCAGGCACCAACAGTTCCAAGACTCAGGTATTGACCGATTGCCAGTTCCATATAAAACAAAGGGATCCCATTGATTGCAAGCATCACAAAGTATGGTATCAAGAAAGTTGCTGTCAAATCAATACGAAAAATTTCTTTTAAGTTGAGAAAAAGGCGAAATCTATAAGAACATTTCCCTGCGGGATTAACTCCTAATTAGAGCCCATTACTCGTTAATGAACTCCTTACTTGATACTGCCTTTGTGTTTGTTCTAGTAGGAGAAACAGGGATGGCGCAGTAGCAGGTACAGTGGTGAGAGCGCTCACATCCCACCACTGTGGCCCGGGTCGATTCCCGGACCTAGTGTCTCATGTGGGTTAAGATTGTTGCTGGTTCCCGTCCTTGCTCCGAGGGTGTTTTACTCCCTCCACAAAAACCAGATTCCAATTCGACCAGGAAACAGAAGAGAAGAAGAGCCATCTCGTGGAATGTCAACTGCTAAATTTGATTTATTATTATTATTATTATCATCATCTTATTTATTGCGAAAGTGCATTCGTGGTAATGTAGTAAAAGTCTGCAATCTATTCAAGTGCTGAGGAGACGAACTGTGTGAATTAAATACTTCACAGTGACCTAGCGAGTGTCGGAACGTAGTCTTGATACAGACCCCAGCGCGCCGACCACTTGCCAATCGATATCTTCAGTTTGCTTCTTAAGATGCTTGGTTAAAACCCACAGCCTTGATCAGGAAGCGGGTAAAGACAGTCGGTCTTAATTGTTTCTGTAGAGGGGTGATTGTATACTGGGAGTGAGCTGGGTAATTTTGTATTATCAACCGAGTTGATAACAAAAATTGGCCATCGTAAATGGTTTCAAAGCTGACTCTTCGAGCATTAGCCCTTCCTCAGAGCGAATGGAGGAATTGTGGGTTGTGTGTATATTTATATGCAGAAAATGAAGCTACGCTATCGGTGAGAATATGGTGGCGAGAAAATAAGAATAAATTAGTTGAATGAAAAGCACCCGTTGATACCGTGGGGATTAAGAGTGCCGATTTGAAAGATAAATTTTTGTTCTAGAGTTTTGAGGCTTTTCGAACTGCCTAGATGTAGGGAAAGGCCGCAAGCTGCTATATGCTACCTACCGATTTGAAATATAAATTTTGTTCTTGAGTTTTGCGGCTTTCCGAACTACCTAGATGTAGGGAAAGGCTGCAAACTGCCGTCGGTTATAGCAACATATTATGTTGCTATAACCAACGAATTTTGAGCCAAGCAAGACGTTGAAAAATTCCTTCTCTGCGTTCAATTGAAAGCCTATTTTCACGACAAAGAGGATGATTCTAACACCTCGAGCAAAGATACTTTCGAAACACTTCAGATTCGCAAGTCTAAATGGACTCCCCCAAAGGGCCAATTCGCATCTTTAGATTTTTCATCAATATATGTCGTTACGATATTAATAAACTTAAATTCAATCGTAACACCAAATTTTTCGCAACCGTCCCAGATTTTTCGATAAACTCGCAATCGTAGGGATTTCCGACTGTCTGGGATAGTTGATGAGAAATCGAGAAAGTCGGGAACGCTTCTTCGAAGTGCAACAGGTATTACAAAGTGCGACAAAAAACACAGTAACCCGAGTTTAAAATAAAAATGGCGTGGGGAGAAATCTGTAGTTCTCTCGATATATCGACAAATTCTGGAATTTTCGGGAAACAGTAAAATGGGATTTTCCCCATAAATGAGAACCAGGCTTGGAGTTGCTCGAGGCGTAGCCGCGGGCAAGTCTAGCTTCATGAATATCTCTATGAACACAGCTGACGGATGAGACAATCGCTTGTAAACATTGTCAACGCAACGGTTTTCTCAGAAACAAATCGACAACTTTGAGAAAGACAGCGCGACATGAATGTTAAATGAATTGTCTTTTGACCAACACAAGCTCTGTTGAAATAAGAGCTGTTGAATAACTTACCCGATTTCGAAAGTGGAAAATGAAGACCTACGCCTCGAGCAATGCCTCGAGCAACTCTTACCCTTCCCTTGTGCTCACCACTCCTCTTGCGTGATTCATATTCCCATGAACACACGTTGACGGATAAACCAATTTTTATTTTCATTTTGAGCTCCTAAAGGTCAATCTCAATCGGGATGAAACGGAAAAACCATCTTGAAAATATCAAAACTCGCGGCCAAACTGGTTGCAAACTCGCGGTCAATCGCAGAGGAAAATTTTCAGTCTCGAGGCATTTCTAGTAATCCAACGGAACTCCTCACTAGATACATTAACAAAGATCGGGAAACAAGTTAAAGAATTTTAGCGGATGCCATAGGCATTCGCCGGTGTGCAGTTCAAGCAGGGTCTTAAAGAGAAATATAACACCTGAGTCGTGTCATACGCGAATATAACAGGTGAGTATCAGTATCATTGACCAATATTTTGTTTCTCATTTCAGAGAAGTGTGACACACAAGGTTACAATAAATTTTATGAATTCCACAATGTCTATTTTTTGGTGCTGCAAATATTTCTTTTCAACAGAGTTTGATTTCTGTCTCTCTCTTTTTTTTTGCTTTCTGTTTGCAATCATGGATTGTTCATTTATAAGAAAAAGAAGCACTTTCATATGAAGTGCAAATCATTCAATCTCTTAATAGAAAAATTTGTGATTGGTAGATTTCTGGGGGCGTGACAAGGACCTGAGTAACGCTTCCGTCCACTTGTAAACAGTTGAGAGTTCCGCTTCTTTGTTGACTTAGTTTGGCGATAAATATCCATCTTGATGTAATTTTTTATCTTACAGTATTATCATGGCTTTTAAAACTTTCGTACTACCGTTTAAATTTTCGCGGGGATAAAGTAGCTTGCTATAGGATGGCGATGAAACCAAGTCGGTGAGAGTGAGAGGGGTAGGCAGGAGAGAGGGTGGCTCGAGCCCATCGTTCATAAAATTTGTTCAGGGACCTTGCCATCGTGCGAAGGAACCAATTAGTTAAACAAGTTCATGTCTTTCAGTTTTCGAGTAACTCACGAAATTATTCGGGTTTCGATGATGACCCAGCAGTCACGAATTTGTTTCAAGTATCAAGTTGCTTCCAACTGTCTGAAAGAGGGTTAGACGCCTGCCTTATGACTTTGTATTTCAACAAAAGAACACATTTCAATGGGAGAGGTATTAGAAAATGAACGAGGAAGGAAGTCTCTCGAATCACCTTGATTGTCTCAATGACTGTTGCATTAATTTGTAACCCTTTGATGGGCAAAAGACAATTACAATGTAAAGATTGCTATTGAAGTTCACTAGACGCCCACTTATCAACAAATCACGCGTAGCGGTTTTGCTACTCGCTACTGTGGATTTGTAGATTTGTTTCCACGTCGACTTAGTGATGCGCCAAGGGCGCGAAAACCCGAAAACAAAAAGCATCTCTGAGAAAATGTCGACACGTCGCTACATGCTGTCTGAATTCGTTCAGCTATTATAACATGATCAAAGTTACGTCTACGTTGATGCTTTTTTTTTCTAGACTGGTCTCGATGATAACAGCCCAACCTTGCGCATAATTAATTGGCAACTCAAGGAAAATGACACGCAAATCGATCTGCTAAAACTACTAGCAGATCTACAAAACTGTGAGCGATTTCAGTTTTGAAATCGATACTACCGTGGAGTCCCGGCTTTCTGAGTTCCTACTGTTTATTTAATTTACACAAACAAAGATCACCGGTAGAAGCGGCGCAAAGATTGATGTAGAATTTTAGGATACTTTCGCTTACAAAGGAGAATCATCCAACGACAAAGTATATCCGGCTGCATTTTTATTCTGCTCGTTCCTTTAGTCGCAAAGAACGCTCAAACTGACGAGCGGCTATTTCTAACACACTACTGGGCATTTATGCAAATTAGATTAAGAAATAGAGGGATCCCAGAAAATGACGCGTTCAAATCGTAAGCCTTGTTAATTGTTAATCTAAGCGTTTCGGCTTGAAATCGACGTGAAACATTCTGAAAGCCAAACAGCCTGTGATCAAAGGAAGACCCTTGAGTTAGGGAACAAGTTCAAACATTGTGCGGGGTAACTTATCAACACTTTACGCAAAGAATGTACGCTATATCACGTACCTCCACCATTTTCGTAGCACAAGTATGGAAACCTCCAAACATTGCCCAGCCCCACCGCGTAACCAACGCACGAGAGCATGAAGTCCAATTTTTTACCCCATTTCTCTCGGTCATCCTCGACGACTACCTCGTGCTCCTCTATCGCCATCGGCTCGACCAGAGCAGCGCGGCTGTCTTCAGGTCTCGCGAAGGATTTACTGTTGTCCACCATTGCGCCATTACTGTCCTTTTCTGACATTCTCAATAGTCAATCGATCGCTGCGCGTACCTGTCGCTTTTGGCTTTCAACCTGGAAATACTTCTTATATATGGGCAAAACTACATTCGTGACTGGTAAATAGGTAGGTTTATCACGAGTTAGCTAAAATTACACAAGGTCACATAAACGAAAACAATATGCAAATTGCAAATGGATTTGAATGAATGGGCTGTCAATCAAACGTCGCAGAATAAAACGGCTCTTACGTAATCGCGATAGTAATTTGAATAAACCGTAAGCCGGTAAAGCCGAGAAATTTCCTTGTTCCTTTACTTCTGTTCCTTTAGGTAATTTCCTGGGGTAAAATTTCCGCACAGCCCCATACTTCATTATGCATTCAGTTCTTGGATAGAGATAACTATAATAAAAACAGTACATTGTCATCGGGAAAACAGATTTGTTTTACAATAGTATGAGAAAGTGCTTTTATGCGCCATAAGTCCAATAAATATTTTTATAAATATTCCTTGTCCGATAGTCTTTTCCAAGTACAAAAAAGGACTCCTACCGCCGGTTATTCTAAAAAAGGATAACTCCATACTGACAATGAGCGCTCGATAAGGTACTTGATTTCCTGGGAGAAACTATGACGAACCGTACGATCGGCGTGTGAAGCATGCGTTTTCTTACTCCAACGCTCCGATGGAGGTATTGGGCCTGTTCAGTCACAATTCGTCCTTTTGGCTCTCAAGCGCTCGCGTGGTAGCAAGCTTCTTACATACATGCTTACAGAACAGTTGAAAAGAGGAAAGAATGTGGAAACACCGTTTGAAAGTGATAAAAGTTTTTAAATATCTTCAGCTGCTTTTCACATGCCTTTTACTGGAAAATTTCATATGCATATCAAGTCTACGTGCGAAGTAAGCGTGAAATCGTGTGGAGTTCACTATTCATCGTAGTGAGAGGGCTGCACGGACATGGCGCACGGTCTTCGTTAGACCAAGTGCCTAGCGATTGGGTGATCGAGTGTTGCTCCAAGTATAACTGATAGAGAAATGTTTTCAACCGACCGATTAAATGCATATAACTGGCAGCGAGTGATGCTTTCAACTGAGCGAATAAGTGCGTAAAACTGACCGCACTGGATGAGAGCTTACAACTAACCGCCTGATGTTTACAACTAACAATACAAGTGCCTAAAATGCAAATGACCGAGTGAGGTTTAAAACTGACAGTGTGACTGTATACAATTGATATGGTAATACAAACAACTGACAATGTAAATATACGTACCACTGACAGAATGATGCTTCACGCTAAATATATTTCGCACAACTGGTAGAGTAAAGTTGACAAGAAGGGATGTAAAGCTATGTAAGAGCTTCTGACTAATCTCAGTCCGGCTGAAAACAAAACTAAACTTATATCATATATGTAGCAATATTTCAAAATTAATTTTATTGATTTACTAGTATTATTGACAACATTTGAAGTTACATTTGCAAAATTTTACCTTCAAATTTCGCCCCTCATTGTATTCATGGAGGTCTTGATTTTTCCACAATGGGTAGAGCAAGGGAGCCTTTCAAATCAACCTGGAAGCGAACATTTTCCGCTGCTGCGTTTGCTTATCTTTTATCATTTTTCCCGTGAGAAAGCATTTCTGCTTAACGAGTAGTTTCTTTAAAAAATTTTCGAGAGGTGATTTACAGCTGCAAGTTAATATTTCCGCACTTTCATGGTCATTACATTACTTATCAGCAATTTCACCCATACGATATCACCTCTTAATCATTATCCGATGGAGTTCGGAACGAATCTCAATGAGCAGAAATGTATCGATGATGTGGCGGGCTCACTTAGTTTCTTGGCTCATGGGAAATTTATTTTAAACTGAAACTACTCAAATATTCATTGTTGTATTTCTCAATCTTTGAAAATATCTGAATTATATTCCTGCCAGTTGACCACAAACTTGGGATATGGAATCTTTGTATTGAAATGTTTATATTTTTAATGCGACAAAGCTCTTTCGTGAGAGGTATGTGAGGCGACACGCATGTCTGTTCCTGATACAATTTCTGTGACGGATGGGGTTCCGCTATCACAGCAGCAAACTAACTGCTTGAAGGCTCGACGGAACTCTGGGATTTTCACAGCGTAGACAATAGGATTGATCGCTGAATTGCTGTAATGCATATACTTTACAAACAAAAGGAGGTCGGTGTTGTAAATTCTGGGTTTGCATGACTCGCAAAACACTATTAGTAACTGAACTGTAAAGAAAGGTAACCAGGCAATTACGAAAAAGCCAATAACTAACGCAATGGTAACTGCAATACGCATGTCACGTTTTATCGATCGTGAACTGTCCCGAGCCGGCTGTATTCGATTCCTGGCCGTGAGCCAAATCTTTGCGTAAGTGAACAGAATGACCAACAATGGAATTACGAAGAATCCCATGAAAAGAAACATCATATTAGCTTTGCGGTTGATTTCCCTTAGTTCCAGTGCAGATAGAGATGCTGCGGCTGGAATAATCCACACGGCCACCAAAAATATATAGTAGACTTTGGGTGAGGTGTTTCGGCGACGAATTGGATAAACCACAGCAAAGAAGCGCTCTAAGCTGATGGTCACGAGATGCAGAATGGAGCAGGTACCGGCAAAGATGTCAAGGATGTAGTAAATGTTCCCTAACGTTTTACCTCCTGTTGAATAAAGTAGCATTGAGATCCATATGGGTATGGAGACGAGGCCGACCAAGATATCTGCCACAGCGAGGCTGACCACGAAGTAATTTGTTATCGTACGTAGTCGCGAGTACCGAATGAAGGATGCCACAACTAGTCCATTGCCAAAGACTGCAAGGAAAGCAATTTGGACGTAAAAGGCACACCATGTGATAACTGCCTCTCTTTTGAAAGTTTCATTATCAATCAGGGGAGGGGGGCGAACCATGCTTGGATTTGATTGGTTAGCCATTTTCCTTGTTCCTGAAAAAGGATCGGGGAAGAAAATATGTTACTGCAATTTAAATAGAAGCAGGTAAAGTACTTCCCAGCCCACGTTTGTAAATACCTCAAAAGTAAAGTGGTGTTTGCTTTGGTGAGTTTGGCAGTTTAACAATTGAAAAACCGGCAAGATCAGCAATAACCATTCAATTTTAGCAATTTCTGCACGGTTTGTTTTACCACGCCGAGTTATTGAAGAGATTAAGTTTCTGATGGAGCGTTCATGTGATTACGAAACAGGCAGATATATTTTGACTTTACTCATTATCCTGACGCAAACACATGGCATGGCGTGAAATCTGGGAAAAAATATAATTTACCTTGCACTATAATTCCGTTCTGGAGGCTCAGTGAAGATGGATATTTATTGATATCATATTTGTATATTTTAAAATATATTCTGCCATCAATACCATTCAGCGTTTTACTTTTAATAAAAATTTTGAATTCACATTAGGTGCAAATATTTAAAAACGGTTAGACAAATTCAGGGACTTGGCGACTTCACAAGGTCTTAGGCTCCTGATTTGTTCTTCAATTGACTCTAGCATTGACAATGTACAGAAATATTTCCTGGGATAAAAATTTCTTTTTGATATCATGGATTTACTGTAACAATAGTAAGAAGCACAAATTATGTCGTTTGCCAAGGAGTTGATTTATCGATGTGATCTTTGAGAAAGTGTTAAACTACGATGGACATTGTCAGATCATAGTATGATTTGCTCTTACCTGTTAAATTTAGTTCTTGTGGCGGTTGAACCAAGTTTTCAGACTGGACTAAAATTATTCAACCATGGGGTACTGAACGAAAAACTAGTTATGGACTGAAGTCGAAGGAAAAATATTGCCCTCCGTGAAAGCGAGTTTTAATATGCACAATTTTCTGAGTGCGGTTTTTGAATTACGACCGACTTATCAAAGGGATGCTAATAAAAAAGGTACCAGTTTGCACTGCCGACAGAACGTTTACAGTTGTTAAATGTAGCCGATATTGCATGTTAGAAACAACTGGAGAATTGGAAAGTTTTAGGCAATCGTATTAAGAATGTAATTTCAACTTACTGCTTTTTACCGCCATAACTCTCTTCTTTATACATTGTCGATGCAATAGCACCGAATTGATTTTAATGTAAATTCCTACGTAGTGTTGAGATTAAGGCCGAGCACGAAAGCAAAAAAATATTAATTAAGGTATATGACATCTTTGAGAGAGTAGAGCCTTTAAATATTAGGGATGAAAAGATAGCTTTCACCAAATAATTACTCAGGAAGCAGTTCCCTAGTCAGATTAAGAGACCCTAAGTCCTAGGCCCGATTTGTTTACCTAAATTATTCGGAATGAATCGAACAGAGGCCGAACAAGACCAAACAGACAGAATTAAGGATCGTCACATGAGGAAAACAGTAAGGTTGGAAATAAAAATCGTATTGAACCGTATTTCTTTGGTCTGGAATTTGACGTGAATAGCATATCTTAACTTTACAATAAGGTTTTATTTAGAGTTCTTTTTGTTTACCTGTCTTCTCGATGCCGCTTTTGACCAGTGATTTTCGTTGTTCGTGTCGTTTATTCTTCTGTATCTTTTCGATCGACGTTTCACTTGTTACTCTGATCTAGAGTGAACCAAATGCTTGTAAGGTTTGCTCAAACAGGCAACTTTTTACGTGTTCCCTTTTAAGACGGTGTCAACTTTGGTTGCCAAGTGTTTGAAACACGCCGTCTGTCTTTGTTGATTTTGCTTCTTTTTTTCTCTCTCTTTAGGTGTGTTAATTTTCCTCCAATGTTCTACCTTTTGACATACCTAATTGAGTTTTATAGGAAAAGGTAAACTCATGAATATTGAATATTTTTGTTAACGAATGTGTGGGTCGCCCGCATAAATGTATATTGACACAGTTTGAATTGACATCTCAGCTTGTAACTATTTATTATGAGGGTATAGAATGAGCCAACAGAGCAGTGAGCATGACTCCAGCAGCGAATTTAGAGGGAAAATTGTCACTTAACTGGCGATTAGACTTTCCGAATGGTTTCTTGAAAGACGATTTTATCTTGGCCCTATTTTGTCGCAGTTTGAGTTGGAAAATTTGAAGTATTCAATCACGTTGCTACTTATTATTACAAAAGTATTTAAGTACGCCAACAGAGGGGCAAACGTAATTCTTTCAAAGAGTTTAAGCAATATGTCACTTTGCTAGCGTGTTGATCAAACCTTTTCCGTGCAAAGTAAATTTTATCTTTACCCTAATTACTGAAAGATTGCGTTGTTACGTTCAATTTCCATGGCTCCTAGATGTAGATATGCACAAGAAGGGATCAAACTTTTGAATTTAGCCTTGGGGATCTAGTTAAGTGAGGTAAATTTGTCACTTAGCCGTAACTTCCTTGAAAAGTATTTTGCTCTGGAACCAGCAGACTCTCCAAGTGTTTCCGTGATAGGACAAAATTTTTCAACCCTAATTACGGGTAAACAATACTTTTTCCTTCCAATTCTAAAACTCTTGAACAAATTAAAGTTAAAATCGGTCGTTTAAATTAATCGTTTGCGTTTTATTCCTAATTAGTGGCCTCGTTACATTTGTACGTTTTCTCGTGCTGCTTTAAACTTGTCCTAGCCATAAAAAACATTTATTATAACTTTTTAACCTAGACCGGCTTTCAATTATCATTTTAATGGAATTTTATACAATTTTTCATTCAATCTTGGATTGCTAATCTTCATACTTTGATTTGCATCATTTCTGGAGATAAGATGATCCTCATTGATATTCAATAATTAAACGAGAGCATTTTAGTTTGAATGAAAAATGTCAAATAACCAGTGATTACAAAATTAAAAAAAGATGATCCTCATTGATATTCAATAATTAAACGAAGGCATTTTAGTTTGAATGAAAAATGTCAAATAACCAGTGATTGCAAAATTAAAAAAAAAATGATTAGAGGTGTTCTATTACACTTTAAACTGTTTTCAGTCATTTGTGGTTTAAAAGGACAAAAACAACTCATTTTATTTCGATAAAAATATGCTTTTTTATGACAGTTGAATATTACCCACTGCATGGGGTAATGCTGGAGGAAACCAAAGGGAATATTTTCATGGTGAGATTCTTTTATCTCCAATTTTAACAATAAAAATTGATTCTAAATAGACGCAAGGGTTATCAGCACGTGAACGGCTGACGTAGATATTTTATTCAACAAATCTCCTTGATCCTTTTTGTGCCCCTATTCAAATACCAACCTGCTATCGTGTAGAGAAAAAGGTCCTAAATGACACCTTGCTCAAAGGGTGCTTCAATATTTGTCATATGTTTATCATGCATTACTTTTCAATTTACAGCCTTAGAAACAAATGCAGTCTTTATTTGCATGGACATCGTTCGATGCCACTTCAGCTCTTATCACCAAGTATGTTCCTTTCGAATGTTTTACAGTGTTTTAACACTGCCATTTTTGTCGGCAATTCGCTTTTATCTCATTCACATCCAGCATATCATAAAATGCATCCGCAAAACTAAATTTGTTTTCCAAGTAAAAACGTAACCAGTTCTGGAAAAAGAAAATTTTCGAGCATTTCAATTGCGTCATCACAGCAACGAGGCTCCTGGAAAAACTGTTTTAGTTTCGAAGTTGAAGTGAGTCCGTACAAACTTCAGCGCTCTTTTTGAGCAAGCAACGGTTACCCCCTTAAAAATATACTGCTATAGATGTGACAGAATAAGAGAATGAATTGATCTACTTGTGTAAAAACAGCTGCGCAACATTTCGATCATTAAGGCTCAGTTCAGCTGTCGTGCTCCTACCGTCCAGGAATTAAGTTTGACAAAGGCACGGCAGAAGCACGGCGTCTCAATTTTAAAAACATTTTAATCAAGTTCGGCAAGCACTTAAAAGTCCGCGGAAAAGCTCTGCCGTGCTGCATGACTCTGGCGCGACAGCGACTCAAACGTCGTGCGTCTGCCGAGCCAAATAAAATAAATAAAGCACTTTAGTCACGTTAATGTATTTTGGTGAGATTGCACTCCCGCGGGAATACGTGGGAGTTACGACCATAAAGTTTTACTTGGCTTTAGTAAATCCTTAATTTTCCACGAAGACATTGCCCAACGTCCGAATCAGAGTCGTGCTCCTGCCGTGCTCCAGTCAAACTTAATTGCAATCAAGTTCAACACGGCAGAATCACGACTTCTGAACCGGGCTACGTCCTTAATGAATAGACTAATATATGAAATACATTATTCAAACTTCCCTGTTTACTTAAATGGCTAACCAACAAGGCGCTAGCGCAGGCGTGCTTTTTAATCGCAGACTTCGAGGCGGCAGTTTTTGAAGTTTATCCCTAAATAATACGGATACTTCACCCTAACGTTCACTTTTACTATTTTGTCGGCAAACAAACCGGCACCTAAAAAGAAGCTGAATGAATCATATTGACCTTCGGGTCACGTCATGATTCTTTATTCTTAGTCTTCATTTCTTAACGTCTGCACGTGAGATATTCTGGAAGCTATTTGGTTGATATGCATTTTTCAAGGTTATACCCCAGAGTTGTCTTGGCCATTGAAGCCGAAAATCTTCATATCTGTTTTCTTTTCATTTTAATTTAATACTTTCTGGCCTTCTTATTTTGAAAATCCTTGGAAAGTTTTGTTTTTGCTTCCGTTGTTATATTCAGATAATTCCATGCACTTCCCTTTGAGACTAAATGCATTTGAATTGAGAATCTTAGAGATGTAGCTATGACTTTTGATCTCCCGAAATCTAAAGGTGTAGTTACTGGACTGTTCTTGTGCCATAATTTGGGATAGAGACGGAGTTTATGTATTAGAAAGTGACTCAAATTAAACGCCAACTCCTAGCCGTTACATGTGATCAATTCATTCACCTGCGAAGTTCGATGATGAACAGACTTGTGAATGAGTCATTTATTGCCATTCCTCCTTCTATTCAAGATGGAATCGTAAGATTCAAACCACTTCCAAATTTAGTCTTTTGACTCGGATGCTCAAATCGCGTGAATTTAATTTTTTGTTTATTATCACAGTCTTACTCAGTCAGACTCATTGCTGATTTGTTTGCATATCCAGGGTAAAACTGATTGGTTTATCATTTCTACTGTGAAATGCACCATCGGATGAAAAGCGAAACTAGAATTTAATTTCTTCCACTTACTAGGGCTATTTTGTATTCTTTTTCATCAAAGGCACTCATCCTCATTAATTTAGGGGTAAGTATTGACAAAGCTTGACTTAAATGTTAAGATTCCTTGAAATGCTTTCGTTACTACAAACGAGATGTCATGCTAACTGCAGTTGATGGCAAGGAAACGTTTGAAGTCAAATTCATGAGCGAAAAGATAAAGGAAATTTCAATTATTTTCAGTTGTCATATCATCTTGTAATATATGAGGACAGTAGTCAAAACACAGATTAATTAGTTCATGTTATTCCGTCGATTCTTTGTTAAAGATGATGAGTTACTGCTCAATTTGAAATCATAGATTCAATTCAGTTAAGGGATTTTAAAGAAGATCGTTTATTTCTAGTTTTAAATTAATCGATCGGCCCCCGAATTGTTTGCCTGAGAGTTACAGGTTAAAGAGTTCCGTCAAATGACTTAAGGTTTATCAAGTAATTTCTGATGAAATGGACTTTCGCGGAAGTAATAAACTTGATCAATATCAAGGTATTATCATTTGCTTTACAAACATGATATTTCAGCTGTTGCTTTCCAACTTCCTGAAAAATGTTGATAAAACATAGCATATGAACAAAATTGAAGCCAAGAACATGGCAAATGCAATATTGAGCGTTGAGAGCTATAATAATTTTGGGAAGAAACGATAACAAAGGTGCGACAGATATCTAAATGCTTAAGGTTTTTTATTTCAGTTATTCCGACCCCGTTTGGATATGCCAGATTGGCGAAGCTATGTTTTTTACATATTGTTTCTATGGCTTCTGTGTGTTCCTCAACGCCTGCCCATGGCGCGTGTGAAGTATGCAGCTGGCCGATTCAAAGAAGCGAATTTCCCGAATAACTCTTGGATGTTGTCTTATTCCAAGTATTAAAACCGATCGAATATAAAATGCTTTATGCTCAAATGTTTTCGAAAGTTTTGCCCATTGTTTCCCCTCAACCGCGCTTGGTTTCGGCCCACATTTTAAGACTCCATCCAGGATGAACGCGAAAAAACTGTCATTAAAAACGTAGATGAGAAGAAGGAGAGAAACGAGCTGAGCACAGACGTAAGGAACGACAGACCACGTTACATTTCCTCATTTTCACATCCAAATTTCTTAATTTCAGAGAATTTGTGTACTTCAGACTATAAACCTCCGCTTTAACCCTTACCTGGCAGCCTGTCCGTTAACCCTTACCTGGCAGCCTGTCCGTTGTGTGCTTGTAATACGACGCCTGTGTGGTTTTCTCTGTTGCTGGAATAGTTAATTTTAAATGACAGGAACAGTGTCAGCCCAACAGGAACATTTCGGAAATGCGTGCACTGGTGCGAAGGACAATTTCGATTTCTAGTGGCTACAACGACGTGTGAATTGACAGGTTGGTCATGAAGACATACTCTCTCAGTTACAAAATACTTTTGCTTTAAATTGTGATGCATTTCTGAACTGATTTGAAAAGACTGATCAATAGCTAGGGTTTTGGAAGCGACACAATTCGGAAGGCACGGATACTAAAGCAGTTAATTTTGATCAAAATTACCATAATTCATATGGCGATAGCTCTTGTTTAGATGCTCACTTCACAGTTTCGTAGCCTCAATATCTAGATTTACCAAGCGTTACATCCAAGAATTTCCTCATCTCATACTTATCGTCTAAGCATGTCGAAATCATAAATAGAGGTTAGGTTGACAAATCTCTAAGTATATCAGACCAAAAAAAAAACTGGTGGATCGTATTTACTGCTTATGAGAAGTAAATACGATTTAAGGAATGACAAGACAAGGAGATAAATTGTTGGTAACCTCTAATTCTGTCGAAGCATTCCTCAGATAATTTTCACACGACTGGTGTTTGTATATCTACGGCATTTGGTTTTTGTCATTACATAACCATTGATGACATGCTCGCTGTCTTTAATGTGTTACATATTTCCCATCGAATTAACTTGCTAGAAATATCATGTGTCTTCCCATGCAATGAACAAATGGTTGAAAAGAGGTTATGAGGTGAAGGGGGAAATATTGTCAATAATACTTCTTGTGATTCTTTATACCTAAATAACCTCGAAAGTAAACGAGTAAACTCGAAATCAACTCTCATTCAGAGAACCCCGACGATTATTATACTAAATACAACTGAAAAAGATGTTGTTCAGTGGATGACCCGGACATACTCGGGGAAAAAAAACTATGAGTGGTCCTAAGATGATTTGAACCTACAACCTTCCGATTAGTTCTTCGGATGCTCTACTTCTGAGCTGTAAGAGATTCGTGGCTGAAACTAGGCCGTTAAGCTAGTTTTTAACAATTGCTGCGAAATATTTTGCGTGTTTACTGTTTGCCTGAAAATTTCAAATATCCCTAATTCCAGTCACCTGTGTATCAATGGCACTGAGTTTTCTATGATTGGTGAAATTCAATCTTTGCTGAAAAAACTGGGAGAATTTTTAATTGCCGTTGTTTTAGCTTTTAGCGTGCTGGTTTCAAAAAGTCTCCTGTGACACAGCGAGCCGCTGTAATCTAAGTTATTAATTGCCAAAAAATTTCCTTTTCCACTTTTTGCTTATATGGGGCTGAATTTTATGTTATGAGGCTTTTCGAACCCTGTCAGTGCGTCAGACAGCCCTACACCACAGGGATACCAGAAAGGGATGGTGTTTTTGATACATTTTTTATATACCAAATCAGTTCTTTAGGTCAGCCGGGTGTCTATTTGTCAATTTTTCAGGCTCAATAGAATTTAGTGAAATGGTCTTACAGTGCGTAAATATTACTCAGAAAGTAGTGAAAGGGGAAAATATTTCCTCTCTTGAGTTGTAATGTACCTCTGCTTACAGAAAATTGCAAAAAATTGTTTAGTCTTGCAAGCACAACAAATCACTAACCGCTCATAACAAATCGTTAATAAATTTCGTCATGCAGTCAATGTGAAAAAATTGAGATGTAGTAAAGGTCTTCACCAGTCAAAATATTGGGAATTGAGAGGAGAATATAATCTGTGTTCAATGGTTTTTTTCTCACTGGTAAGATGCTTACCGAAACTATGATATCGTCCTGTCCCTCGTGTTTCGCATCCTGGTACTGAATGTGAACCAGTGATAACCAGGTTTAAATTTTAGAAGTATGGAAAGCTATTCCAAGATTCCTAATTTATAACTTTTCGACGATTGAAAGATTGGATTTAAATTTAAGGCGTTGAATAATTTTTTATGTAGTGTAACTCTTGGAGAAGACTTGACAAGTTGCACTACGTAACTTATTATGTATCAGGGGTATCTTTGCATGTAGTTATGGCTTCCACATAGAGTATGTTCTGTCATTCTTAGGTTATCGAATCACTACGCTTACTCTTAGAAACGAAACATGCAGCTTTTAGTACGCATTTTATGGTTTTTTTGTTTCCTTTCCGAGAAAGAAACCATATTTTTTCGTTTATATACTAGAATACAAATTAATGAGTAAATCACACGGAAGCAAAACGTAATATCAATCCTGGGTGATATATCTTTGCTCTCTCTCTTCCTCTCTCTCCATGTGCGCAACTCGCACCAGCGAACACAGATGTATTTCGGAACTTAGTCTAAACGAAAACTAAGTGACACTATCGAAAGGAACAAAGGCACCACAATGATACTAACATATTAACCCACTGGACTTACTTATTATGGATATGAACTACACTGTAGAAAGCAAATTACTTTACCTTCATCTCAAACGATCTTTTTTCAAGCGAAGATTATCTTGCGTATTTCCATTTGTTTCCATGTGAAGACAAGTTTACTTGCCGGGTTTAATCATGTAGTTCTTGTCTGAAATTAAGCTTCTTGGTCAGCTTTATCGCATTTCACCTCTAAAGGCCGCAGATAATTAAACTTTTTTTTGCCGATCTAAAAAGATGAGGGTGATTTAAGGGAAGCTTTCTTTGCTCAGTTGTGGTAGTTCTGTAGCCTGGATTTATTAACATATTGAGAGAGAACCCACTCAAAATACATTGTGCTTATCACGTAGATGAAGCCAGAATACTGTATTGTAATCAGCCGCGAAGCCAGTATCAGGCAAAATTTAAAATCTTTCTAAAATACTAATGACGGTAAAGGTGTGAGTACAATGAGATGGATGCCTTCTCCGTTGCCTGGCGATTTATGGACCTCAGATCACTATAGTTCTCTCTTTTTTTTAAATGTTATTTAGTTAACTTGTAAGCGCACCATTGCAGGTACAAATTCTATAAGCTTTAATGCTGTCTTCTAATCTTCCAGCCTTAAAAGTTAAGACTTAAAAGATTTCCAGCTTAGCGTAGATTTATCTTTTGCATAAATCTTTGAATATGAAAAACAATATTGACGGATAGTCGTTTAAGAATTGTAGCCGAAATATGGAGGGCTTTTAAATTTTCGTCTTTGTAACTTAGCTTGACACCGAATTGAAAAACCGTGGCCGAGATACGATGATAGACAAAATTACAATAATTACAAATATTTTGCAATTTTTTTTTTTTCAATAGCCATCGCCAGACCAAACAAACCATCTGACAAGCCCCAAGCCCTGAACGCAACATTCAGTTTCGCAGGTCACTAAGTGGTCACCCATAATTTTCCACTTAGGAAAATTTCCTTCCGAAAACAAACTAAAGAGATATTTTGCGATTGGTTAAGACTTAATCGAAAGTAAGCATAAGATGACTCTATTTTGTTTTCCTTTGTGTGGGTTTTTTTCTCTTTTAAATTTACTTTGCGCCACTGTGTACATTGAGTTACTCCTTTAGATGACGCTTATTCAAAACTCACACAGTGCTAAATTACTCGGGCACGATTTAATCTGTTCATTTATTGCTTTTCACTAACAATCACGTTTTCTGCGCCACCAGATTTATAGATGAAGTTATAAGGAATTAATAACGAACAGCGAGAATATCAAAGAAATTTGGATGATATAGGTCATCTTTCTTAGTTCTGCTGTGGAAAATATCTGCTCGAAGGTAATAGTATTTTATTTGTGATTTTAAATTGTTTTTATTAGTTCGTCGGAATTGAAGTAGATGATGTAGAATTTTCCCCTATTAATCAAACCTGCAGAAACAGGAGAGCCTTTCCTAATGCTAAATGTTGTTTCTATCGCTACTTTGTTGGTTTCACATGAAAGGAGCATTGGGTTTGGAAATAGAATAAGCTTTCTTATGATTTTTTAATCAGGTTCTTGAGTAAAATTGAAACTTCTGATTTAAAAACATGAAAGAAAACAGGTTTTCTCTAAAAAAAAGGTCATATGATGGCCAAAAATTTAAATATTCTTAGCCAGTCTTCATACAATTGTGAATCGTGATTGTGTAAACATCACATTGATCTGCCAGTTAGTAATCAGCACCTGCCCGTCAACCAATCCAGTTTTGACATAATAACTTCAGTTTGTTCCTCATGATGGTTTTTGCCTCATCAAGTCGACTTTCTTGGAACTCAAAGGGAAAGAAAATAGTGTGATTTTAAGGTAAGTGTCTACAGCCGCTTGCACATGTGTTTTACAACCTATGCAAGTCCGAATGCGACGTCTAACCGAAATCGAAAACAAAGACAATATGAACGTGACTATTACGAAAAATGTATAGTTGAGATACATTTCATGATTTCATTCAACTTACAAGCGTATATAAAGTGCATTTTAGGGAGAATAGGGGAAATCGCAAATGATAATCTTTTTTTTACTGTCTTTCTTTTCACAAGTCAAAAATTTTATCACTTCTTCCATAAGCAGTTAACATGCGCTTTTCACATCCTTCAGGTATCAGTAACTCAGATCATAATGAAAAAAAAAAAAATCAACGATCATTTACACTATTTTACTTCTATCGGTTTGAATTGAAATGGGAATGCGTGTTAACTAGATGACTCCAAGAAAAAAAAAGTATGAAAAGGTGCTCCTATGGAACTGATCTTCGAATAAGATTTAAATCAGTCAACATAACAGTTACCAGCAGTGATGGTGCTAATTGTAAGATATGTGATGTTCTTCTCTATCCGTGTTTCTCGAAACAATGAATTGTAGTAATTGGCACTGAATCCACAAAAGGAAACGCTAATTCCAAAGAATTTTGACAAGGGGTATATTTAATTTATAAGGGATTGTCTTACGCTCGTAATCTTGTGCGTTTAAGAATTTTCCAGTAATTTAACGCGAAAAAGGAAGCTCGCAAGGAGATGTAAAAAAATTATATGAGAATCTATGAAGTGAAAATTGAAATCATGACTGTTACAAACAGCTGATGCACTCGCATCGAATGAAGGGAAGCCAAGCTAGTTTTCACGCAAACTGTAGCTCAACACTGCGATAAGAAAGTGTTAATTGAGTTCCCTTTTCTTCTCTCCGATCTCTCCACCATTAC